AGAGCAAGAGAGAGTTAAATTGTATCATGAGGAGGGAGGCCATATTTTAAGAGTGGGCTTGAACTTGAGAGAATTACTGTGTACAGTATCTGGGAGAGGGAGGGAGGATATTTGAGAGCCAGCATATAACACAGTGTAACCTTAAGTTGAACTCTTGTTTATTTTCACCAGTTGTTATGTTATAATAAAGATCATTTTTTTTCTATTTCAATTTTAAAACCACTTGGGCACATATGTTTTGGGTTGAAGGCAAGCCTATTAAAAGTAAGGGCATTTAAAATATGATTAGCCTGGGTAAAGGCCAGTCACAGGAACCTACACCCTGGAATATCCTTTCTGTGGTGCTCTGTTATATTTTTAAAGCTTCTTTAGGGTCCCTGCATGGTGCTGAAAGATGATATTAATATATTTATAGAAATAAGCAAGGACTAGCCATGAGTCTAGATCATATGGCAGCACAAGCAGTAATGGGTACAAATGCCAGGCACATTATCTATTGTTTTTATTCAATCTCAAAGCATGAGAACTCAAAAGTACTAGAAAACTCAAAATATTTAGTGCAGAAGTATCAGTGGTATATTCTGCATATTTTGCAAACTGTGCTAAGTTCCTATCTGATATATTACAACCAAGGAATTTTGTAAACAGTACAAAAGCATACAGCTCATATATTGCAACTGCAACGGTTTAACAGCTGATCTGAAATCTGGTGACCAACTGTTCCCTGAATTTAAACTCAGAGGAGGAGGAGAGCACAGAGCTTATAGGAATAAACCAGCTCTTGGTTGCTTGAAGAGATACTGTGGATTGACAGAATTTTTGCATGAAAAAGTGTGTATGGGAGAGTACGTCAGGGGCATCGACATATTACCCAGAAGTGACAGGAAATTTTTTTTTTTTGCATTACTGCAGCACTGAAGAGAGTATATGGCATTGTATGACACCTCTTTTTAAATAGAGCTGTTTATTCAGCTACATCATTATTTTTACAAGGAGGGGCTCTAAGAGGTGAAATGTTGCAAAACTCTTCTGTGTTAAAAGCAGGTTCTGAAGTCATGAGGGAATGTTTTATGGTATTTGCTATGGTATGGCTGGATTCTGACAGCCATTCTCAAACATTCCAAATGTTTTAGCCTGAGTCCTTGCACCTTCTTTGTAAAGAATGATAGTGCAATTCTTTTTGTATATATTGAGAAATTCCATTCCCCCCCCACCACCACCATCAAGCTGTACTCCCAGATAAGTTGATACAGGATTGCAGCACATATGAAGCAGCACGTTGGCTTCTGTTGCTTGACTCTCAATCAAGGGGAGGAAAAGTACACTGCAAATGAATCAAAACATTGGTGATTCAAGAATACATCATGATCACTTTTTGCATCAGCTGAGATTTTGAATGTGTAAATGGTTCATCACCAGAGATAGGGATATTTAACAGTTTCAGTTTCTCCCACTACTGAATGTCAATCTTTAGTTCTTCTCATCCTGAATATACAGAAATTTTCAGATTTTGATAAATCTTTATTAAAACAAATGAAGAAGAAACAAAATTCTCCCCCATTCCTAGCAATCACAAATGAAACATAACAGATAAAAAGGTAAAGGTTCCCCTTGACAATTTTTGTCCAGTCATGTCCGACTCTAGAGGGTGGTGCTCATCTCCGTTTCCAACCCATAGAGCTAGCGTTTTTGTCCAAAGACAATCTTCCGTGGTCACGTGGCCAGCGCGACTTAGACACGGAATGCTGTTACCTTCCCACCATGGTGGTACCTATTTATCTACTCGCATTTTTGCATTTTGCATGCTTTCAAACCGCTAGGTTGGCGGGAGCTGGGACAAGTGACAGGGGCTCAATCAGTCATGTGAATTCGATCTAACAACTGCAGGTCTTCTGACCTGGCAGCATAGAGCTTCTGCGGTTTAACCCGCAGTGCCACCACGTCCTCAGATCATATTTTTTAGTGCATCATGGTGGAGATTGTTCATAGTTTAAGGATGCACACATGCTACACATGCAGAAAGCATCAGTTTCAATACCTATCATTTCCAATTAGAGGATCTCTGATAACAGAGCTTAGATCCAAGTCATTAGAGGGACCATACATTATTCTCCCACTCCCATCTGCCCCCAAAGTGAGATCTTTAGGAAGAAGCCCTTCTCTGGATCCTATGACTGTCACATACATAGTTAGTAGCAATATGAGCCAGTACCTTATTTAGAGTTGCTGGAACTCTCTTCCAAAGAAAGCTAGACTGGTCCCCTTGCTCTTGTCCTTCTTCTGGCCAAGCAACAAGGACTTTTTTCTTCAGGTACACTTTGAGCAACTGTCTGGTTGCTGAGAAAGGACCTTTGAGAAGGGCATGCTGTGTTCGTTAATGGCTTTTAATGGCTTTTAATTCAGTAGTGCTTAATACAATTTGGATCCTAAAACTTTTGTGTTTTATTTGTGTCTATTTTTAATCTTATTTAGAGCTGCCTTGGGTACCAGTTTTGTAAGAAAGGCAGAATGTAAATGTACAATAAATAAATAAATAATTAAAAATGGCCAGCAGAGTAAAAGTTGCAGTAGGTGAGACTTATTCTGACACTGGAAAAGCACTCTAATTGTGTGTAGTCAGTTCTGTGCTAAATAAGTTGATGTGTTTTTTTATAAGGTGGCTTAGCAAGTAATACATATTTATTAGGTGAACATATGTCTTGCCCCTATGAAAAACATCATGTGTGTCAGGTAGCATTCAGGGAGCGATGGTCCATTCACAGAGGGAAGAGGATTGTTACCTTTTGAGTTCTGCTTGTGGATTTTCCATGGATGTATGGTGTACCTTCTGTGGAAAACAGAGTGCTCAAGTAGTTGGGCCCAGAGTTACAAATTACAAACCACTGATTTTGACTACAAATCAGTGACTACAAACCAGCATACCCCAGAGATTCTGGGAGTTCTCCTTTTTTTTTTTTAAGTTACTTTTCTGAGCTCTGGTTGGCTAATAGTGTGTCCTTATGCAATGTTGTCATTCAGTATGAGTCTTTGAATCAGATCTGTATTTTCATAAGAGTGAAAACTGCACAGAATATAATAGTTCGCAGTTGAGACAGTTCACATTCAGTTAGTTGAGAGTATAAGTTCTTACTGAGGTATCACACGATAAACAATAATTTCCTACAACTATCTGTTGCCACTTGCCCCTCCTTTTTTTGTGATCCTACTGGGACATTTAGCAACATTGAGATAGACACTGAGCAAAGAGTTCTAACGTTGCTATATGACCTGGTTGGAGGATTTTACCTAGGGTTCAGATGTGCCCTTTTAGCTCATCATCTGGCTTTGATACATCCTACTGAATTAACTAGTTCTTGCACCTCAGTAAATTTACATAGGAAATTCATACTTATTAGGGAGAAGTTGCTGTTCTGGACTGAAACAGCCAGAATCCCCAGAGAACATGCTCAGTGATGATTCTGCATGGTATAGTTCAAAAAGTGAAATTTGAAGATCTACTGTGAACCCCATTCCTTACTCTAATATACCCCGTAGCAGTGAAGTGGAAATAGCAGCTAATGTGGGTGGGGGTTTAGAGAGAGGTGTTACATTTGAGTGTGTGTGCACGCACACACATGTGCATGTGTGCGCATGAACTGAAATATGGCAAAGAAAGTTAGGCTAAAATACTTGCTAGTTATCACACAATTTTCAGTCTGTATTTCTGAAAGAAATGGTACCTTAGTTTGCCATCACTTCCCAATGCATTTTTTTCCCTGCAAAGAAGTTGACACCATGTCAATCATGGGAGATTTCTGCGATGCTCTCATAAGGCTTTCGTTTTTCTTTGTGGTCCTTAATAAAAACTGATGTCAAAAACCACCTCCAGAAAATATTACCAGAAGATCCTGTATGTGGTCAAATGCCATTATTTCTCTATTTATAGGCACCAGGAATTTTCACAGATGCTTTCCATGGTTTCCTTCTCACCATTTTATTCTCAAAAACAGTAAAGTAGAGTTGACTATGAAGTACAGTGGGGTCTTGACTTAAGAACGGCTTGAGTTAAGAACATTTTGACTTAAGAACCACTCTCATAGGAAAGGAAAATTCTATTTATAGGCACCAGGAATTTTCACGGATGCTTTCCATGGTTTCCTTCTCACCATTTTATTCTCAAAAACAGTAAAGTAGGGTTGACTATGAAGTACTAAATGATCCAAGGACAGCAAACATCTTTGTATCTAAGCTGGAGTTTGAACTTGGTTCTCCTAAGACCCACATTCTAACCATTGCACTATCCTAGCCCTCACTAACCAGTGCTTACTATAAAAATGATGCCAAGGCTGAAAGAAAAACAATATTGAAAGAAAAACAATGCAAAAATCAATGTTCTTAATTTGCATAGTAGGAAAATATGTATTGTATGTGAAATGAGACTGTGCAAGTGCATAAGATGCTAATTGGCGTGCCAGAATTTGGATAACGGGAATATGGAAACCCTGTTGACTTCTTCCTACATTGGGCTGCTTATACAGTTTCTCCAATCTAAAGTGGTTTAACTCTATTTATTTAGGTTTGTTTTATTCCATGATTTTGTAATTTTATGATTGTGTTATTTTGTTATTGTTTTGCTTGAAAGAACTGGATTTTATAATATTGTTAACTGCTGGGAATACTGCTGTGCACTAATGGAACAGTTGGAATAGTATATAAATGAAAGAAAGAAAGAAAGAAAGAAAGAAAGACAGACAGACAGACAGACAGACAGACAGACAGACAGACAGACAGACAGACAGACAGACAGACAGACTTGGGTAGATAGTTCTGAACAGGCTAAGTATTCTAGCAGAGCAAAAATGTAGTGTGTATTTGACCCACGTGCCCCTTGTACTCTGGGTTTAAAAAACAACAACAGCCAACAGTGCTGTCCTCCCTACATTTCGCAAACAGTAGGAAATTCCTCTCTTTAAACTTCACACTTCCTGTCTGCTTACAGGATTGATAGGACCTCTCAGCTCTGAAGGGTTGGTTGTTCTCTTTCTATGAAGTCATATGATTGAGAAACCGGAGCCTCTGTTACTTAATTCATAGCTTATAAAAGAGGACCACATTCCTAACAAACCATCCTTACTCAGGTCTTCCCAGAGCACCAGAATTTGCAAAGGAAGTGAGTGGATTTTTAATTTGTCTTTTAACAATGGGTCTCTCAGGAAACTGATAAATGATATGTGATGGAAATACATTATTGTGATACTGCAGACTGCTACCAGTGCTTTTTAGAAACAGGCACTGTGCTCAATGAATTTGATTAATTTCACCCAGAACTAGATCTTCCTACTTAATTCAGGCTTCACTGATAAGCTATCTTTTGATTATTAAGTACTTTCTATATCTGATGTTCTCATCTCTCTGTGCTTTTCTAGTAATTACCTCCAGCTTTAATGACTAGTTGATTTTGTGTCCAACAGGAGTCTAATTTGTCTGCCCGTTGATCTCTTTGTTTAACACCCTGATTTAAATGCAGCTGGTGAATTGGCCTTCAGGAGGCATAGGCTATCCTGCTGCAAAAGAAGAGGAGAGATTGTGTGCCTTGACAGATCATGTGGGGGAAAAAATGAATGGATTTTAGGAAATACAGTCTGCTGTAGAAGAAGGATACCAGCTTTACTGCCTGTGACGATCCCCACCAGAGAGCAGGGAACCTTGTCTTTTTCACTGGATGACACTAAACCCTTCATATTCTTCCTATGCAGTTTTTGATCAACTCCATCCTAACACAGAGATATTTATTTATTTATTTGATTTCTATCCCGCTCATCTGATCAAATCGACCACTCGAGAAGGGCAATAGGATTATTCACATATTATCTATTTCTCTATAGTCATCATGTTTAGAGAGGGACAGTTTAGCTCTTTATTACCCTCCTACATTTTGATGGCAATGAGTCGGAAAGGGGAGAGCTCCTTTATCCATGGCAAGGCTCTCCACATGAGTCAGGACCCTAAAATATTCAGGTCCTGATTCACAAGGAGAGTTCATCCTTTTCAGATTTGTCACCCTCCATATTCAGGAAGGTGAGGAAAATAGAGATGAGCGAGGTCACAGTGCTTCCCTCTGCATACAATTGGTATACACAGCTAGATAACATTTGAATAGTTGACATAACTCAGCAGGAGAGCTTGCAACACTTTCTTAGTTTAGTTCCTGGTGTTTTTACACAGAACTAATAAAGATCACCTTGCTGAGACCTGATACAACCACTGCCTGTTAATGTAGTTAATAACGGACTAGATGGTCTGATGATCTGACTCAATAGAGGCAGATACCTACGCTCTCACTGAGGAGATTCTGTTTATTTCGTAATATATAGACGACTGACCATCTAGAAAAGAGGTGGGATTTAGTCACTTATTTCGTTTATATCCTGCCTTTCTCCCAAAGCTAGGATTCAAAGGAGCTAGCAATGAACCACCCTCCACCCTAAATAGTATCCAGTGATGGAGATAAGGAAGAAAGTTTCCTTTGCAATGCATACAAGCTTACTAATTTTTCACTTTCGAGCCAAATGTAAACTGAAGGTCAGGAATCTTTTGAAGCATTCATTCACAAAGATGTTTTCTACTTTAGTGAAAATAATGACCAAAGAATATTGGAAAATTTGCTTGCAAGGGGGTGTCTGCAAGGCGAAACTGAATGGAAAAATGTGTGTATAGAGAGAAATGTATACAAACGGATCCATCCATTTCCTTACCCTTGGTTATTTTTTTAAAAAATGTTTTTGGTTGACCAAATTTAAGACTAGAACAATAAAGAACTGAAGAAAACTAAAACAGACTGATGTTTTGAAATGCACCAATAAAATATAAAGCGCTAGGTATTACAATAATTAACTTGTGGCAAATATTTGGGTGGTGGGATGGGGATGAAATAGAAATAAACGACTTAAATGGACAATGGAAAAGGGTGTGATTTAAATGGTTTCCCCATAGATATGTGAACCAGAACTAATGGGAATAACCTTCATTTCACTTCTGTACAGTGTAGACTTGAGCTAGGAACGTGTTGGGTTAACTCTTTCTTCTTCTTCCCTTTTAAATTCTTTCCCCAGGTCAATCCAATTAAACAATGCTGGTGCTTCTACTATTTTATGCTTTAGTTTCACAAGCATTACCAGCAACAGACCCAGTGCCACAGCACGTTGTACATAACTGGGATCGGAATGCATGTTCGCTAGTTGTATGTGGACCGGCTGAGAAAGGGATACCAGGAAGAGATGGAAGAGATGGGCTCCCAGGACCAAAAGGGGACAAGGGAGAGCAAGGTATGGAAAAGATAGGTTCCTAATGGTTAAACTCTCGGGATTCCATTTTCCATTCATATTTTAAAGGCTAAATAATTGCAAAAAAAAAACACTGTGCATGAAACGCATGCTAAAATCTTTCTCCCACAAGGATCCTCAATTATATCGTTAATTACATGGTGATGTGTTCATCAGTTATGCTGGAGATCAGAGTCTTAACGATGAAAGGAGTTTTATCACTGATACATTTTGAAGATGGTTCTGGTTAGCTGTGGCTGGGTCTTTAATGAATGGGAACTAAGACTTGAGGGAGGCAGCTGTCACAATCTGTGTATGTCACCAGGTCTCCCAATGGTCTGTTGCTCAGACTTGCCTAGGAATTTGCATCTAAGCAAGGAGGCAGTTGATGGGCAACATGATATGTGACTGATAATCCATTGTTAGAAGAGGGAATTTCTCAAGTGCTGATAGGCAAGTGGGAGTCATCAGGCCTATCCTGATTCCATCTCTGGAAGAGCAATTTCAGCTTCTAATGGTGGGCTATGTATCTGTCTCATAGCACTTTGAACAGAATGTTCATTCATGTGCATTTCCCTATTCACATTCTCATATTAGACACACGTTATTATGTTTGCGTTTTATGTGTGTTTTATGTATCATACTTTTAAGGAGACAGTCCTTTATTTGAAGGGTTACCAGAGTACAGTCTTTTAAGCTGTCCACCATTTTGTCTGGTTCAGTTCCAGTTTAAGAAACAACCATAATGAAAAAACTAGCAACTAGCAGCCCATCCACCTGAAAATACCTCTCTTTGGGTCTGGATTGCCATGGACAGTTGGATCAGACAATACTAAATAACTGTTGGAGGGCTCAGTGGCTTAGGCATCTGGCTACAGAGCCACAGGTTGGAAGTTCAATTCCCGACTGTACCTCCTTGACAGAGAATGGACTCAATGATCCAAAGGGTCTCTTCCTGCTCTGCAGTTCTAACATTCTAAAATTAATCTGATTCAGTATCCTATGTTCTCATTCTATTTGCACCACAGCTGCTCACGGAAAAGCCACACCCTCTACATTAATGTCATTATAAGCTGCAAGCGGCTCTGACACATACAGTGGGGTCTCGACTTACGAACGGCTCGACATACGAACATTTCGACTTACGAACTGCTCTCATAGGAATATATGGACTCGACTTACAAACTTAGATTCGAGTTACGAACTCTTTTTTTCCCTTTTTTTTAAAGCTAAGTCATCTTAGGTTAAAAGGAAAAAAGAAAAAAATCCCCCCTCTAGTGGCAGAAGGCGGAATAGCAGCTTCCCATTAGTTTCTATGGACGAAAAGAGCAGATACGGATTAAATGGTTTTCAATGCATTCCTATGGGAAATGCAGATTCGACTTAAGAACTTTTCGACCTGAGAACTGCCTTCCAATACGGATTAAGTTTGTAAGTCGAGACCCCACTGTAATTACTACTACCATCATTCTGGAAACAGAAAAAAAGCAAAGGACTGCACATTCTGAATAATTCCATATGAGGAAACTAGCCAATATTTTAAAATAACTGATACGAAAAATGCTAATGTTTTCCTGCTCTTCTTCTAATTCATCTGTTAAAAGGAATATTACAGTGCAAAGCTGGGAGCACTACAGCCCCAGGAGGTCAATATGATGCCAGTGGATCTGACTTTACAGCTTTTATTAGCCAGTGGGCTAGTGTTTTTTTTCCAGTTGTGCAAATGGCAGCACCTTTGTTCTTATGGCCTTAAGGCATGCTCCCAGTTGTGCAACAGTTTCTGCAAACAGCAGCGCAACTAGTTTACACTGGATTGCGCACAGTAGAGAACTAGATGTCAGTGAGTATATCATCATTTGTGCTAGTGTAACAAAATCTAGGTTTTGACTAGGTGGCCAATGCAGATTCAATCTGCAGTTCAGATGCTGGCTGTTGAAAGGTAACCTCAAGGCTCCCATTTTAGTTGGTCATGAATCTTTAGCTTCATAACACCCTTGACCTAGAAATAGACCTTTTAATAGAAGACACCTTCAAATAGAGGATGTTGGCTACAGAAGTACACAAAAGAATTCTGGGAGAAAAATGCATTTGTGCTTTATGAGTTCCAGTGAATCCTTTGGTTTTATGGTTCATGAAGAGTTATGGATTGTTATAAAAGAAACAGGTATGCCACAATGTTTTATAGTGGTATGTAACTTATAATGCCAACAAGAGGCTAGTGTTAGTAAAGAATATGAAGAAACAGAATGGTTTCTAGATGGCGAGGGTGTAAGATAACAGGTATTTTATCTTTTTACCTGTTCAATCAATATGCAAAACATATATGAAAATTGTCAGGATGTGTGTGAAAATAAATCACTTTAAAGTAGTTAGCAGAGTCCCAGAAAGAAAATTTAAGCTTTCTCTTCTCCGGACAGCAGAAAAAGGTAAGACACAGTGGAAATTTTGCTCTGAGAGATTTCAACAATATACCTCACAGACTAACCATTGTCTTTCTCAGTGAAGGCTTTTATCTTCTAGATTCAAGAAAATATTTACAGCAGCTGTTTACAGCACTCCAGACAGCAAACGGACAGCATCATGCACAGAGCTTCAAACTCCACCCACAGAAGCATGGTACCAACTTGGTTACTATTATATCCATCTTGCTGATGGAATCTTGCTACCTGGATTGCATCAGATGCACAGTGACTCAGCAGAGTTCCACTGCACATGCCCATCGTGTCATAACTTTTCTTAAAGAGACAATATTTTCTAGTATTATCAATACTCTGACAAAATCTGGATACAATTCTGGTGGAAGAGGAAAGAAAAAATATCAATACTCAACAGCAGGAAACACCAGTAATTTTAGATATGCAGACAACACCATATTTCTGGAAGGAAAGAGCAATGACTTGAAATGATTGCAGATGAAGGATAAAGAAGAATGTTCACAAGCAGAATTATAAATTAACATTAGAAAGACAAAAATAATGACAACAGAAGAATTACGTAACTTTAATGTTAACAGTAACAAAACTGAAATTGTAAAGGATTTTCAATACAGGCAACACTTGGGAAAACAATGATAAAACTATAAGATAATCCTTAAGTATAAGGATGTGTTGTTGGAAACCAAAACGAGGATCATCCATACTATTTTATTCTCTATTACTATGTACAGATGTGACATCTGGATAATGAAAAAAGCTGATGAGTAAAAAAATATTTCTTCAAGTAGTGTTGGAGGAGAGCTTTATGGATAACATGGGCCACCAGAAAGACAAAGAAATAAGTTCTTAGTCAAATCATGCTTAAACTCTCACTGGGAGCAAAAATAACCACAATGAGGCTATTGTACTTTGGACAATGACACTATTGTACTTTGGACATATCATGAGAAGACAAGATAAACTAGAATAGAAAAGGCCAAGAAAAGTTAAAGCCAGTAGGTGAAGACCTAGCTTGAGATGGATTGATTTAATAAAGGAAGCCATAGCCTTTAATTTGCAAAAACAGCACAGGGCTGTTAATATAGTACCTTCTGAAAATAAATAAATCATAGGATTGTGACTTCCATAAGGCAGATGCAACCTGAGACACATAACAACACCATCCAGCAGTCCTTCCGAAAGAACACTGCACTCTGTAAAACAGGACAAACAGCTACCCTATGTTAAGCTCAAGATGGCAAGCCACCCAGCCTTGGTCTATTTGTTCTTCCACTAGGTTATAAGATTTGATCAGCCTGTCTGATTAGTAGAAATTAGGCATATTATGTGTCAGAGCTTGAGTTTCATGGCTTTACCCCCATCTTAATATCTTCACGAGAAGGGGTAATATCTCAATATACCGGACCAGAATAACTCACCTGCCTCATGAAATTTAAGTAATATAGACTTATAATATGCTCCAAGGAATCCTAGATGTAACTGGGTCAGTTTCCCCTCAACCACAAAGTATCATATTCTGTCCTCAACAGTCATTACCAGCAAATATGGCTGCAAAGTGGGGTAGAGGGAAGTAGCAAAGATAAAGTGGTACCCCAACTTACGAACGTCTCCACTTACGAACATTTCGAGTTATGAATGGTGGTTCAACTTGCCAACAGAGCCTCGACATACGAACCAAAAAAAAACTTTCCTGCCCTTTTTTGACCTAAGTTCATCTTAGGTAAAAAGAAGAAAAAATCTCCCCCTAGTGGTAGAGTATAGATTAACCAGCTTTGCATTAGTTCCTATGGGAACTAATGCTTCTACTTGCAAACTGCGCCTCGACATAAGAACAAAAAACAGCTGGAACAAATTAAATGGTTTTAAATGCACTTCTATGGGAAATTTTGCCTCAACTTTCGAACTTTTCGATTTACGAACACCGTTCCAATACGGATTAAGTTCGTAAGTCGAGGTACCACTGTATTAATGGACATGTGCTGTAGGTTGCAGCATGAGACAAGAGAGAAAGGTGCAAGCTTTAACAGTGAATAGGTGAAAACCAAACCAGACTTTCCCACAATTTGCCCTCACTGATTGTGAATGTTAAGGGTGCAAGCAGTCGTGACAAAATTGCCAGCCACTTAGTATAGCACTGTGCTAATTTAATAATAAAGATGACCTAAAGATAGAATTGTTTTATGCCTAACATGAAGAGGTTAAAATGGTGACATTCCCTGTACCCTGCTAGTAATTTAAAGTTGATTTGTAGTTCTACATTCTGAGCGTACCTGTAATTTATTACCAATGTGCCGTTCACAAAAGCCTGTGATGTTCACCTTCTTAATACTCTATCTTGTAAATGTTTTTATCAAACACCAGGGTTACAAGGACCAAGAGGCATCCTTGGCCCTCCAGGAAAAATGGGCCCAGTTGGACCAGCAGGCGAAAAGGGAGCCCAAGGGGGAAATGGTCCAAAAGGAGATGTTGGAGAAATGGGTAAGGAAAGTCTTCAGTCAAATAAATTATTCACAGTTTTACAACATAAAGGATCAATGCAGAGATGGGCAAGTTTAATTACCCTTTGAGACTAAAACTCTCTTAATTCTCCAGACAACATGAGCATGAGAACTGTAGTCCTCAAAAGTAAACTTCCCCATCTCTGGATTAAATTACACAGTTAAGCCATGCATTGTATCAACCCCGACACCTGCTTAATGTCTTCTAACATTTCCAGAATAAAAATAAGAACTTTGTAGAAGTCATTCTGATGCCTGACCTCTTTGGGGTGGGGTGGGGTACCTTGAAGAACTCTGTGTCTCCTACCAGGAAATACATGTTGGGCAAACGTGCCAAGTGCTTCTTGGGCAGAATGCCCTCTGACAAGGCTTAGAGACAAAAATTGATAAAACATATAATTTTTGGTTGTTGTGGGTTTTTCAGGCTAGGAACACAGGCCTTGGGCCCAAAAGGCCAAGGAGGCTCAGCTGGATACAGTTTTAATGCTAGAAACCATAGAGAGAAGACAGAGGTTGTCAAGAAAAAAAAGAGGAAACAGTAAGTGTAGTTATATGGAGAGATTGCTTATTTTCAGCTACAGCTCCTGCAATCATTCAGCTAGCATAGCTAAAGATTATGCCAGCTAGTGAACTCTGGGAGTTGTAATTTAGAAAAGCAGTGTTTTCAATGTCTGATCAGATATATTTTTGTTGGATACAATGCATACAAAGCAGTGTTTTCAATGTCTGATCAGATACATGTAGATTTCTGGTGAGGACAATGAGAAGTTTGGGGCATTGCAGGGCATTGCATGTACTTTACAAATAATAACAGGAAAAGAATATTCATAAATGTAGTTATATATCTCCTTTCTTTCTGCCATGGCAGAAGATTATAGAATTTGGCCTAAGTTTTCATGGGGAAGGAGGGCTGAAGGGGAAAAGATGAGTGTACATGTTCTGGTAGGAAGTTCCAGGCTTTGAGGGAAGCCAATGAAAATGTCCATTAATAACCTAGGACACTTTTGAGGGCATCAGGGTGGTAGAACTGCCAATAGTGAGGGAAGACCATCAGCAGGGCTTAATCAGAAAGTAAACACAGAAAACAGTGCAGGGAGACAGAAGTAGCAGATGTTAGTACTGATGCTGCAGTCGACAGCCACTGTAGCAGAATGAATTTGTTCTATTATGGTTTATGGAGCAGGTAGATGCCTTACTTCCCAAATTTTGGATGCATCCTGCTACACACTCCATAAGCTTCCTACAGTCCAAGCCCCATTAATCATTAAGCTTGATCATTACAAGCTTCTGTATACAAACCTTCAGGGCCAACATAAAACTTTTTATTACTTTAGGAAGAGCAGCAAATGTGATCATGATCAGATGGACATATTCAGTCTTTCCCCAATTAATTGAAGGTCCATCACAGTCAAAGGCAAACAGGTCAAAGACACATGAGGTAGAAAATCCCACAAGTCTCTCTCCTTGTCTGTGACAGTGAAAATAGAAACATAATCATAACAAAATAAGTAACCAACCATTTTGCTGACCTTTCATGACACCTTGAACCTGCTGCATGAAGCACGTGTCTCACTCTGTCTAATGGTAGCACTGGCTCTATAAGCCACAAAATAAGGAGTTGGGCAGGAACATCCAAGAATGCAGTTTCCCAGACAACAGTGCTGGGAATTCTTTCCAGTTAGAAACAGCCAATGAGATGCCTGAATGAGCAGTGTTACTTCACAATCCAGAGAACCCTCTGACCAGCATCAGTCAGGACTGGAGCATGCAGTTTCAACAGCTCCCAGTTCGGGTATGATTGCCTGAAACACTGTGATGTGCTATGAGAGGGCTATCCTGTGTGGTTCCTCTTCCTCTTTCTCTGCTTACTCACATAGTCTGTACCATTTGAACAGGACCACGTGGAATCCGAGGTTTGCAAGGGCCTCCAGGCAGCACAGGCCCTTCTGGAGTGAAAGGTGACAGAGGCCCACAAGGTGAAAAGGGCAAAAATGGAGAAACAGGTAAGCCTGTTTCGTAGCTGCATGGCTGAATGTCTTCTGCAAGATTCCGTGAAATATGTTGGGTGGAAACAAAGAAACACACAAGTAGTTCTGCACATACCATGTGGCTTTGGGTTTCTGTGTCTCCTAAGCAGCAACTGGAGATTGTCCAAATGGCAATCTGGATGTCCTAAGGATGGTGGTCCTTCTTTTCAACAAGAAGAGGATCTTTTCAGCCATAGTATACCAGGTGCACAATGATCTTCTCCTTAGAAACCTGTTTGGCACCAATGTTGGTTTGCCTTTAGTGCCAATTGTAAACATAGCTGAATAGTTGAGGCTTAGTGATCATGGCTTAGTTTTGGGTCCCCAGATTGAGAGTTTCATTTTAATTTTCTTGATGTAGTTGAAACTGTTTTTAAGTACTTTTTAAATTGTTTGCAGTTCTGAGAGAGCATTATATATTCTAGACCAAGGTAGAAAATATGTTAATAACCTAAATTGGTGGTTCCAAATCTTAGGTAACTCATGAGTTCTTGGACTGCAATTCCCAGAAGTCTTTGCCCCTAGACGTGCTGGCTGGGTTTTCTGGGAGTTGCAGTCCAGGAACACCTGGGAACCATTTACATAAATAACTAATGAGAAGAAAATATAAATGGTCATTGAGGGCTTTCCAGGTGATCTGAAAGGAGTAGGCTGAATTGGGCAAAGCAGGATTGGCAGGTATGCAATTTGTTGCAATCCTTGCATCCAAATGGCATATGGACCTCAAGTGACCCTGTTTGCTCTGGAGCAGCCTGCTGTCAATTTGCTAGACAGCCATTTCTGGATATTGGCAAAATAATCACTTCCTCAGCTCTGTGAATAACCAGGGAAGTGAAGAGAGAGAGAGAGAGAGAGAGAGAAGTATATATTTGGGCAGCAAATATGTGCTGCACCATTAAAAAAAAAAAGACAAAAGGAAACTTCCATCATAAAATCTTTTGTTTGCTTTTCTTCTAAAGGTCTACTTGCAACTCTCCCTAATTCTAGCTATCCTACCAACACACAGAAAGAAGCCTATGATAGGGGGCAGAAAGATGTGAATTTTGACAGCTAATTTCTGATACCCTTTTTTGCATGTTCAGAAATCCAAATAATAAACTTTGGCTATCACAGTGTTGCTGTCCAGATTGCCTATCAAACCTAGTATGAGCAATAGTGAAGGATTCTGGGAGTTGTGGTTACACAATATTTGAGGAACTAAGCCCGGTGGATAGCTCAATGAGTTAGGGGTTAGGAGTTTTATTCCCCACTCTTCAAGAGAAGAGTTCGCCTGTATAGCCTTTAGCAAGCTGCACCGATCCAGGGCACCACCAGAAGAAGACATGGTAAACTACTTCTGGATATTCACTACCCAGAAAACCCTGAAAAGCGTAGCTATAAGTCAGAACTGACATGACAGTACTCATTTTTTTATTATTAAACCCACTCTAATCCATGCTCAAGGGATGTGGTGGCATTGCAGGTTAAACCACAGAAGCCTCTGTGCTGCAAGGTCAGGAGACTAGCCGTTGTAAGATCGAATCCACTCGATAGAGTGAGCGCCCATCGCTTGTCCCAGCTCCTGCCAACCTAGCAGTTTGAAAGCATGTTAAAATGCGAGTAGATAAATAGGTACCACCATGGTGGGAAGGTAACGGCGTTCCATGTCTAGTCATGCTGGCCACGTGACCACAGAAAATGTCTTCAGACAAACGCTGCCTCTGTGGCTTGGAAACGGGGATGAGCACCATGCCATAGAGTTGGACACAACTAGACTAAATGTCAAGGGAACCTTTACCTAATCCATGTTCATAATATAATTTCTTTGTCATCTTTAAACTTTGATGCTATGGAGTGGCATAGCCACTCTAAAAAGAAATTAGTTTTATCATCTTCTTTCTCAGGATGAAATAGATCTGTTATGCAACCAGTCATCTGTAACTTAGCACCTTCCAACGGCCACCCTGGCAAGAATAAGACAGTTGGGTGGACATCTAGCATAAGGTGGGAAAGGCAGAAACAATGCACCTGTTCTATCTAAATGTTCCCACCTTGAACTACAAGTTAAACTAGATTTGATCTGGAATGATATGCCTAGTTTTATATTAGTCACTATTGGAAGTATCTTTCATTTGCCCCCCTCCAAATGCTTAATATCCATACAGGTCCAGCAGGTCCCACTGGGGCACAAGGTCGTCAGGGCAACACTGGTGCCCCTGGCCCCAAAGGCAATCAAGGGTCAGTCGGTGAAAAAGGAGCAAAAGGAGATGTTGGACCCAAAGGTAAGCAGTGTGGACATGCCATAAAGAGTGACGATGAGCAAGCACTTTTATTGCTGTTTCAGAACAGGTTCAAAACAGCCAAAATAAAGCCTTTCGTCACACGGTACAGCATTAACTTGTAGCCATTGCAACTTTTATATCTTGTGGTGGCTTTTAGCTGAGGTGGCATTAAAAACTGTGCAGATCAGCAGATCAGGCCAGACAAATTCACAGAGAACTAATCCCTCAATGGCTGGTATCCTACTCATGTTCATATAAAGTTTGCCCAACTTGCTGCAGCAAATAGCAGCCAATTGATGAGGTGCTGGAGTGCCCTTTGGTTGTAAGATCAGGTGTGTGACCAGGTATACAACTGAGGTATGCCTCATACCTCATCAGTTAGTCATTATTAGCTATGGCAAGTTACACAAGCCTTACACGAGCACTCACAATGTTCTGTCCAATTGTTGCTAACCTTAATAGCTAAGTGACATCTGCCGATACAGAGGAAGTTGCATTATAAATACAAGATGTGGGGCAGGCATGCTTGTCTGAGCTTCTCAAAGGAATCTGATGATTCTGTATTAGAAACATGATACTAGATTTAAAAGGACTTCAGTCTAATCCAGCTGGATGGCTTTATGGTGTTTCCAGCAGTTAGTTAAGCATTGTAGAACCACTGGGAGCTAGTCAAAAAATGGGGTGATGGAGGTGTCATTGGGAAAGGTTGGCCAGGGAAAGAGTAGCTATGCTATGGGGCGAAATATGATGACCACTTTTTGTGTGTATAGACCAAAGTGCAGTAAATAAGAGGGATGGCCAATGCCAGCACACGGAATCTATTACTTTCAGCTTCTTCTTCGGAAGAAGAAAGGGATAACATATCTGCTGACAAAAATGGTAGTGGGAGGCAGAACTATATTAGCAAAGTTAATTCAATAACACTATGACATGCAGTAGTTATAAATTTGAAAGGGAAAAAAAGCGCTCTGTGGTTCATGTACAATTTAAAAAACAAGGATGGATTATACATTTATTGGATGAGTAAAATGTTAAACACAGGTGAGCTTTAGAGTTCAGCAGGCCCTTCAACAAACTAGCAATCTTATTCCCCCCCCCCTTCCTTTTGGTATTTACATGAATATGATCCTGTTCTGAAAACATTGTTCCCTGTAATTATCTCAAGTGTTCAGTATTACAACAAGGTACTATGTTTGTTGACTAATACTATCATGGCCATGTTAAGGATGAGAGAGTGAAAGTGTTGTAGTCTATGGGTAATCGGGAAAATTTTAGCTGGCAAACTTCCTGATTAGTTTGATCATTTAGAAAATAGAAGTTATCGAAATATTTTTCTGAATACTTGAAAAAAGAAGAGAGATAACATTTTGCTTGTACTGCTCTACTCATAAACAGTGCTGAGAGTCACACTAGTCATTAAAGGGATGCATATTCCCTATGATTAATTGATTTCCCCTCCCACACCACGATTTCTTTAGCGATATGTGCTTCAGCAACCAGACTTGTGAATTAAGCCCTTCCAAAAACCAGTCACAGAACAAAACTTGCTGGATTGTGAGATACAAAACAAAGCATACCAAGTGATAGGTGCAAGGAGACTAAACTGACAAGTTATAGCAGTCATTTTTCAGCAGTGGGGGGAGGATCCTTGTAAAAACCACGATAAAACAATATTCTAGTGTGACTCTTTGCTTACCTCTGTGTCACTCTCTATGAGGTATCTCTAACATCTGTTTCTGGCCTGTATGGGCCAATCCTAATAGCCTTCCAATTTAATAGCCTTCCAACTCTTGGATAAAGGTCACCATTATCAGATAGACACTGTGAACTGGCTTATCCCCATGTGCAAAAAGCAGGAATTATTTGTCTTTTCTCTCATGAGGTGCCAAAAAACTAGTAATTTGGGAACACAGGGGATGAGTCAAAACAATGGGGTCCAAGAGCCAGCTTCAGGATGCAGGGGAGAGTTGTAGAGTTTTTATAGAATACTCTTTGAGACTACAAATCTCAGAATCCTCTGGTCAGCAGCACAAGTATGGGCTGGAGCCAACTGACCAAGACCACTGATTATCAACCCTTTTACTGCTGAGGCTCCAGTTCAAACACCACAACCAAAAAACTGTGTCTCAACAGTGCGAAGTGCTAATGACAGGCTTGGACAGCCTCTGCTTCTTTCCCATATACCTGTTATCTGTGTCTCTACTGTTCAGTGTAGAAAATTTGAATGATTATTCATATTTCTCCTGCATAATATTCTGAATATTAATAACATCCATGGGATAAGGGAAGCCACCTACGAGTTAACAGGCCAGTTGTAATTAACTAACTGACTCGCTTTTTCCCTTTTGCTTTTTACATGTGGTGTAATTTTATCAGCTCACAGTGTTTATTGTGACCCATTTGAGGCATGGACTGCTGGGGGAAAGCAGCATATAGCCTACCTCACTGGCTACTTGTTCTACCTCCTTACAGGATCACAGGGAGAGGCAGGAGTGCAAGGGCCAGGGGGGAAGACAGGCGCTCCTGGACCAAAAGGAGACAAAGGATCTGTAGGTGAAAAGGGGACAAAAGGTGATAGTGGCCTCTCAGGTAAGATTAAGTGGGATAACACTTGCTTATTTGCTTTTTTTGTTTGAAGAACACATTGACAACACTGGGGACAGAGTATCGTATTCGCCTTTCTTAACTTATTGCAGATTCCACTGGGGATTCTTTCTAACAAGGAGGGATGCTTAAATCTCAGATTCTCCAGAAAACTCTCCATGAGGCATTCAAATTTGCTGACAGATCCGGGCAAACTTTCCTTCTAGATCAAATGTTATTATAATAATCTGGCAGTTCATGTACGCATAGGTACACTTACAGATTTCTCGATAAAATGGCTATTCTCAGTTTGGACCACCATTTGAATATCTGAAATAGCACCTACAGTATGTATGTGCTTCCAGGTTACCAAACTATTATTCTGAGAGATAGGAAACACTTTCATGAACATGTAAGACCAGCCCTGTCATTGGGCAATAGGAAACAAATTATCAACCATTTGATTATTTTTCAGAGATCAACCTTATGAAGAATAAAGTCAGTGCCCTGGAGGGACAGCTAAAAGCTCTACAAGCCAGTTTTACCAAGTATCAAAAAGGTAAAGCATTGAGCATAATGATAAAATGGTTTAAAATTGTTGTAAATTTTCCTAGGTCAGTTTGATCCTTAACAGAAATGATGAAGGCCTAGGAATGGGTGGGGATGCATTCCACATGTTGCCACCAAGGCATCCTCTTTGTAACCTGATATATACAGATGTTGTCTCATGTACTGAGGATGCAATGAGAACTCACCGATTTCTCATCCTCAATGAAAAGGAATGTCCTGATGCATCAAAAGTCTTGTTGAAAAAAACAGTCATAGAATTTTTCACTTCTACACAGAATCAAGCCTTTCTTTATAGGTAGCATTAATGAAATAATTTAAACACAAAATCTTATGTTTTATGTTTTTTTAAAAAAACTAGTATTTTGTGCAAATTAAAATTAAAATCTTTTTGCACTAAATACAAAGTTTTACACAAATCACACGGCTATCTGGAAGTTGAGTCATGGCAACTGGACCACACCTGGATCACTGAGAATCTTCACACGAATCACAAGGTTCTTGCACAAAACACATCATTGCAGAAAACCAGTTCCATTAATATTCTGCAAGAGAGAGAGAGAGAGAGAGATCTGGAATGAAAACAACAATAAAAACTCTCTGAATCTTGCTCTGCGTGCCCCCCCCCACACACACACACACTCTGTAACAGGAGAAAAAGATTTATGTCCCTGGTGCTAGTGTTAGAGAACCATCTGTAGCACCATTTTCACAATGGCGTAGGATAAATTAAGAATTTATATAAATTAAGAATTTATCCTACGCTGAACATGCTATGGCCTGGCAGAACCCCACTTAATTTTAAATGGCTGCATTAATGGTGACAGTTAATGAACAAAGACACAATGGGCCACAGAATCCAATAAGCCCAACCTGATCTTATCATTGCACAAATCAAGCCAATATCTATCATCCTTTTTCATTTGTTTTATCCCTTTTTCATTTGTTCCAGTGGCAACATTCCCAGGTGGCCGAATTGTTGGCAACAAGGTGTTTGTAACCAGCGGCTACGAAGGCAATTTTGATGATTTGAAGCAGAGATGTCTCCAGGCTGGTGGCCAACTCGCTTCTCCCAGAAATGCTGCTGAAAATGCTGCAGTCCAACAGATAGCAGTCCTCTATAAGAAGTCGGTGTTCCTTGGGATTACTGATATCCAGACAGAGGGAAGATTTAAGTACCAGAATGGTGAAGCCATTGTTTATTCTAACTGGTCTCCGGGAGAACCCAATAATGATAAGGGCTCAGAGAACTGTGTTGAAGTCTATACGAATGGCAAGTGGAACGACAAGTCTTGTGGAGAAAAGAGGCTCATAGTTTGTGAATTTTAGGCCACCCACTACACCACCTTCAATCCAGCTATCTTGAAGGTCATACATGTGCATGCAGCATTGCTTTTCATCTGTAGACACTGATTACTGTTCCATACATCCTCCCCAAATCCCACTGGCTGATGTTGCCCCTACTACATGTCTGAATCAAAGCAACTGTGAATATCAGTTCACACATAGAGCATCTTCATGAGGCACCACCACCTTCCCACTTGCTTTAATTTATTTCCTTTCAGTGTGAGAGCATTAATTTGTAATATTTGCCTTCCAGAATTTGGTAAGGCTACATCTTGTACCGCATTGGCTGGGAGGTTCTGGGAGTTATAGTCAAAAAGTAAAGTGTCCAAGTTCTGTAAAAGTATGATTATACAAGCAGAACCCTAACAGCAAACAACAGATTTCCCAAGAGGTCCATGTGTTTCCAGATTTCCAAGTTTTTATCACACTAGATAGTCTACCGCTGATCAGAGAAGCTGACCCAGGACACAAGGGAAGGCAATTTCATGTCCCTCTCCTTGGCTAAACAAGGAGGAAATGAATAATTGTGGTATTGATAGTGATAGTAGAAGCAGATGGAGGAGAGAAAGAAAAAGTACTATAACAATGTGGAAAGAATGCAGCACCAGGCAGTCTCTAGTCAATGGTTCCCAGCTGTGGTTCCCCAGATGTTCTTAGACTACATCTCCAGGAATCCTAGACAGCATCACTAGTGGTGAAGGCTTCTGGGAGTTTCAGTCCAAGAATATGGGGAACCCAACACTGGGAACCATTGGTCTGGCTGAAGATGTTTAGTCATGCAAGGCAAACTAAGGCATGCTTTTCTATGAGCCCCTTTGCCACAAGGGGTCTCCTTTGGCAACTGTTGACTTCTGATCTCATTTAGAAGAAAGGGCCCAAGTCATTGAAAAGATCAAAAGCTGTTCCTTACTTTCCTCATTTGGAACAATGTGGGTTTCTCTTAACCCTTTGTTACCAGTCTGAAACACACACACACACACACACATACACACACACACACACACACACACACAAACACACACATTTTAATTGCATTTGCAGTTTTTTTCCTGTTACCTACCTACCTACCTACCTACCTACCTACCTACCTACCTACCTACCTACCTACCTACCTTCCTGTTACCTTTCTTTCTTTCTTTCTTTCTTTCTTTCTTTCTTTCTTTCTTTCTTTCTTTCTTTCTTTCTTTCTTTCTTTCTTTCTTTCTTTCTTCCCACTCTCTTTCCTTTATTATCTCCCCTTCTCAGATTTTAGATCAAGAGCTGCTTCAGCCAAGGCCTGTCCTTTTTCTCCTGTTACAGTGTGAAATACTTATGTGTATTGATAAGACTATAAACCATCAATATCAATTTTCTGCTTAAGGCCCACTTTAAGAAGCAAATAAAAGTTGTCTTGAATCTGAAGTCTTAAAAGTCTGTCTGTGTGTGTGTGTGTGTGTGTGTGTGTGTGTGTGTGTGTGTGTGTGTGTGTGTGTGTGTGTAAGTGCACAACTTTTCATATGTGTGTGTACTTTCTGATGTGCAAAGAATATGTTTATATTTATATTATTTGCAAAACTGTTGATTAAAAGTTTTTCTTTTAGTAAACAGAAGTATTTTCTTTATGTGAACCATATTTTATCAGATTAATATATATTGTGTGGAAGTGTGCCAGAAAGTACTTTCACCAGTGCATATTGCTAATTAGGGATGTGCGGAACCTGTTTCCCACGGTTCTGTCTCATGGACATAGAAACCACCACTATAAATCAGATGTGCACTGGAAATCACACCTCAGTGTGGCAGCACTTTGATTGCTCCATTGATGTCAACAATTGTGGTGTCAGCACCATACAGCATTCCATAAGACAAATAAAAAAATTGGGATGTCCTAAACAAAATAATTATAACCATGAAACTGGAACTCGAATCAGCACCAAATGTATGGATGTAGCAGAACGTCTGTTCCTGTTTTGAGCCAAGTCTGGGGATGTTGAGCAAAGTGTTTTCAAGTTATGAATTTTCAAAAGTAAAATTATTTTACCCCCACGCTGAACCAAGTAACTTGGAGCTCCAGCTGATTGAAAACAGATTAAATACATTGATAAGACAAAGTCTGCATACCAGAACAAACATCCGTTTTAACCACTTTTTTCATTCAGAAGAAATGAGGTATTCATGGCTTTTATTCATACTTTGTAATTAATGCTTTTCAAGCCTGAAAAGCTCTGAAATCTCTGGTTTGTGGAGGGGTGGGTGGTGACTACACACTGGGGCCTGAGAGGCTGAAGGAAGGCCTCCTGAAAGATCTTAAAAAGCAGATGGAGTTGGGGGTCATCAGCACACTGGGGGTACCAGAGTACAAAATTCTGGACAGCTTCTTTCAGTTTTTTTTATGTGAAATAGTGTGAGGAATCCTGTAACCCTGAGACACTCCACAGGCTAATGATCAAGGTGTTGAACAGGAGTCCCCCAGCATCATGACCATTCACAATGTGACACCATGCAAGGGATAATCCCAGAATCTGATTCATTTTTCACTTCTCACCCAAACGCAAAGCAATTGTCATGGCTATTTGTCAACATGTGTGAACAGTAGTGAGCAGAAGAGGGTATCCTGTAGACCATATTGACTGCTGCCATTGTTGTTTAAACTTTTCAGCTGCACTTTGTTGTGGTAAGCTTGGCATCCTTTTTCCTGATGGCAATATGGGTAAGATATTTGTGCATCAGTATTGGGCTATTTCCTGGCTTTTTGAATTCTGGGAAAAGAACCACAATATCCCAGATTCATAAATTCAAAAAAAATTAACATCCATGTGTGGATACAGCACTTTCTGTTCCATTGTTTTCAAAGGGACACATACTTTGATTTATATTGGGAAGTGCATCCCAGTGCATGTTCCATAAAAATCCTTCCTTTCCTTCAATGTTTGCACAGTGTTTTTCTTCATTGAGCTATTTATTCCCTTCTTAACAGATTGCACAAAAATGTGTGGAAGCAGCTACCAATATTATTTTCCCTATCTGAAAGTACATGGGACAGAATTAGAAAGGTTTGTCTGAACTGCCCACATCAAAAGGATACTACAGTGACTTTATTATCAACATTACAATCCTTTCTCTGATTCTTTAGTGCTTCTTCACTTGTAACACTATGTAAAAGTCTGGTTGCTACATCTGGCAAAAGATTGTGTAAAGCTGTAAAAATGGGGCAGGAGAGATCGATCATAATTGTCGAAGGGATGAGGCAACTCCCTTGTGAAAATGTGGACCTTTTTAGGTTAGAAAAAAAGGTGATTGGCAAGCTGGGCAGGACTTTGCGTAGTCATGTAGTCATTGAGTGGTAAAGTGCCAGAACCACTCTCCTTCAGGCAACAGAGATGAAGAAGTGTCCCCTTTTTATCCATCAGATGGAAGAATGTCTATTGTTGTGTATTTAGAATTCAGATACTCAATTTAAAAAAACAAAAAACAAAAAAGAAACACCCGAACATTGTGACACCTTAGAGACTCATTGCTACATCTGTATTTCAATGTGAGTTTTCCTAGACAAGTCTGCTCTTACAGACATCAATTTTTTTAAAAAAAATCTAAATGCTAAAAGCTGCCCTTTATTAAGTGAGGAGGCCTCTGGTATATGTGCAGAGAAAACAATGCAATGGGCAGGCTGGATTTTATGTAAGAAGCTATTATGTTTTGTTACTTAATTTTTTTAAAAAAAAAATTACAATGTATGTATTCCCTCCTTCCCTGGGAACAGCTTAATTAAAACACATGTGTAGAGGTGGGCATGAACTGAACCATCAGACAAAACTGACAAATTCTGCTGGTTTGTGGTTTGCAAACTAGTTCAGGGATCCTGTTTTGCCCAAATGAAATAAAGTGTCGAACTTCTTTCCCCTCAGTGCTTCATTTTTTTGGCAAAAGCAGGTGCCCACCGACCTCCTCCCCACTGCCCCTGTCCCCTCCCCAACTGAACCTGCCACTGCCACCTCCACCAACACCATCATCATCCTCTGAGGCAGCGGGTTGGACCTCCCTTCCCAGAGCCAGGCCTCTTGCTTCTGCACATGCACCTGCCTCTCAGCTGGGTTAGTCTCAAACCGGCCTAATTTGTCATTTTTATGGTTTGTGCCCATCTCTACACATGTACCATTATTTCAGGTCACATTGTAGTAGGAAATAATCACATGTCCCTTGCATGTTTAATTGACGGCTCCAGAACCAGGGATATTCAAATACCATCTGGTTTAATTTGCATCCATCACATTTGGAGGTGTGGAGGACCTTCCACCTATAAGCAAAACTCCTATCAGCTTGTTTCCTTCCCTCATTCTTCCTTCTCCCTCACCCTGAGGCAAACAAGCCCAGCAAAAACATGTTGTGGGTGCAGACAATGTCCCGTTAGTATTTCTATTCAGTAGCCTGTCTTCCTGAAGTATTCCCATTCACTGCCTAGCCTCGGCTGCTGCATATCTGGCACTCAACCATCTGGAAGCTACACAGGTACCCACAGCAAGAGAAAAAGGGACCTCCCACCTTTCTATCAGTAACACAGGAGAAGCTGACCTGTACTGAAGAGAGATACAATAGACAGGTAAGTTCAGGCACAAGTTTCTTCCGTGGCACTCTTGCAGTGCACCAACCAGTAAAAGTATTGAGAAGAATGAAATAAAGCTTATTGTGGGTGTCCCCAAGTGTCTCCAAGCCATCCCCTGGCTTGACAAGTGTGCCTAGCCAAAAATAAGAGTCCTGCACATTTGGTACCTATAGATTCTGGAACATACACAGAGACACACAGCAGGGGGAGATGATTCTGCAAATAAAGACCAGCAGAAGGCTTTAAAAATCAAACAAACTAGAAAACAGCACAGTAGGGGATAAAGTTGGTCCCTAGTGCAACTTTGAGCTATCTGATTAAATCCTACAATGTGGCTAATCTGATAAGCAACATACTACTCCCCCCTTGCCATACCTTTGAAGTGAAATGGCTGCTCAGTTAAATGAATGAATGAATAGAGTAAATGGAATAAATAAATCTGACCTCTCCTCAGAGCTCATAATTTAGAGTTTCCAGAAAAGAATTAGTTTTTCCTTGTCCTTTGATTTCACAGAATAATAGAACAGAATCATAGAATAATGAAGTTGGAAGGGACCTGTAAGGCCATCAAGTCCATTGCCTTAGTCATTGCTCAGGTGCCAATCTTTCACCTTGGTACTTTCTTCTTTTGTTATGACACCTGGTGGTTTTGCTCCAATGTCAACATCTGAAATTTCAGGCGAACTTGGGGATTTGTAGAGGTGTTCAAACTGACATGAGCACAACTGGAGACATCCTGGAAAACCCTGTATCTAATGTGTTAAGGAATGATTCTCCCTGATTCACCTTGTCGGACAGTTTTCTGAAGCCAGTAAACATCCTTATTCATAACCATGAGGCATTTGGGTCATTTCTTGGCCTCCTTCCTTTGTCTCTCTCTCTCTCTCCAGTGCACATTTGCCTTATAGACCAGTGGTCCCCAACCTTGGGCCTCCAGATGTTCTTGAACTACAACTCCCAGAAATCTTCACCACCACTTCTGATGGCCAGGATTTCTGGGAATTGAAGCGTCTCTCTGTCTCTCCAGTGCACATTTGCCTTATGGACAACAGAGAAAGAAAGGGTGAGAATTTTCTACTGTTGGTTTAAAGATCTTTCAGTGAGACTAATTAGCTAATGCCTGTAAATCCAATCTCGAGCAATTATCAGGTGAAACACTTGGCAAAGGAAAACAGTTAAGTCCTTATGAGTAAGAGTTAAATTTGGCTCTACGATGAAAGGCAGCAGGTCTTGTTCTGGAGTCATTTCAGGGATTTTTGTTTGTTTTTGGTTTTTTGGTAACAATTTCAGTCTCATGGAAAACCTAAAGGCGAAACCTTTGCACCTGTCAACAAAACTGCCACGTCTACATCTTTATTTCAGAATACAGCCTGTATTTCAGAAAAGAGCAAGCAGAGACATATATGGGGTGGCGAGTTGTGCTGTGCAGTTCTCCTGTTCACACAGAAGCAGAAGTCTCCATGCTGGGGAGAAGCTGAGTTTGCAATAGCCGTCTATTAGTCTGGGTTTGGAACTAGAATAAGGCAGACATGCTGGGATTGCCTCACAATATGTACACAAATGAGCAATTCTGTGGCTGGTAGCAACAGAGATATGGGCCATTGCCAGGCAGTAACATACTTATGGTTGCAGCAGAAGATCTGCATAACTTTGGTTGCAAGCAATCCTCTTCCGTCAAAAGAGAAAAGAACAATAGTTCACATCATATGTCACATTTCTATGATATATTTGTTGAAAGCAGCCACTTCAGGTGGAAGCCCAAGAAGGACAGAAATCAAACCACAATGTTAGGATTATGCTCTAGGGCCCAGAGCATCATTCTAGCAATGAACAGCTTCAACACATCCATTTCATTAGGTTCACTCATCCATCTTAAAAATCATCTGAAAGTTGAGTCAACTGGACTTCTTTCTTATTAGGCTGAAACGTTTCACTATTCATCCAAGTAGCTTCTTCAGTCTGAGGAGAGTTGGTTGGAGGCCCCTGATATATCCTCCATGTTGGTTTCACTTCCCCCTGGTCTGAATAGGTTCGTTAGATGGACAAAGGATGGGGGAGGGTTAGTGAAAATGCCACTTCTGCAGTCCTCCACCCATTGCCATGGGTTGTTAAAAGTGTTAACAGTTGTCTTTCTGGTGTATGGTCCTGATCTTTCTGGGGACAGATGAAAGGGCCGCAGGTTTTATTTTTATTGTTCTATAAAGTTCTACTGCAAAATTGAGTTTAACTGTGAGTTGGTCTAAAGTGGAATTTGTGCACTTACTTTGGGGGCAGGGGGGCAGAATGCCTCCATTCTTTCTTGACAATTTGATTGGCTTTTTAAAATTGCATCAATCACTTCTTGTAAACATATTTCACTGTGTTGTGCCTCACACAATAAGGTATGATAAAAAAAAGTTTAGCCTACTCTCTGGGCAGGATAGAACACTGGAATAGATAGGATTGAGCTTTGCTCCTAGAGTTCTCATCAGTAAACAAAGTGGGTGGAACACAAAAAAGGAAAGCCTATTCACATTCAGAAGCAGTGAAAGTAGAGAGTCAGGCACATTTGAGTCTTTCCAATAGGGAAGCTAAATCTGTGCTTGAAGGTAAGTGAAATTCTGAATCTATGAAATGTTCATGGGATTGTGGCGTAATACAGGCAAGTAGGAGAGAAAATGTTCTTAATTTTAAAAGAACGTCTTATGTAATATTGCTGTTGTGGCCAAATTCTCCCCTGAAAATGAAAGCCTGTTGTATATTAACTAGGGAAACATAGACATGTATATCATAATATATGTAAGTGTGACTGTTCATAGTACAATTATGGACATATGTTTATTCAGGAGTAAATCATATTAATCTCAATAGGCTTTACTCCCACATAAGAGAACAGCCCTGTGTCCCTCTACAGGGCAGAAGGTGGGATATTAAATAAATAAATAAAT